TTTTTTTTTTTTTTTTTTCAATTTTTCTTCTTGTTCTTCTTTTTCTCATTTCAACAGGTAAAAATTGTCACGTCAATGTAGACGAGTGTCTCTCCCAGCCTTGTTTAAATGGTGGCATCTGTATTGATGGAAACAATGGTTACACATGTAACTGCACCCAGGACTACATGGGCGATCACTGTGAACGCGAGTACGACGCTTGTGCAGTAAATCCTTGTAATAACAACGGTACCTGTACACTCTTGTCTCGCTCAAAACGGGACTTTGTGTGTGACTGTCCCCAAGGTTTTGAGGGAAAAATGTGCCAAGTCAATATTGATGATTGCATAGGAGTAGTTTGCCCCGGTGATAATAAGATTTGTGTCGATGGTATTGGGGGATCAGAGTGCAAATGTAAAGATGGATATAGAGAGCCCAACTGTACATTAATTATAGACCATTGCATCAATAAACCATGTCAAAATGGTACCTGTATTGATTTGGCTGATGAGGGTTATCGTTGCGATTGTATACCAGGATTTACTGGTATTGATTGTGATAGTGATGTTAATGAGTGTGAAATACTGGGCAATGCATCGTGCAACAATGGAATCTGCGTCAACACATTGGGAAGCTACAATTGCTACTGCAGGCCAGGATTTTCCGGTGATCATTGTGATGTTGATATAAATGAATGCCTCTGTGGTCCGTGCAAGAACAATGCCACTTGTATTGATAAAATAAATGCATTTGAGTGCCTCTGTCCACCTGGATACGGTGGAAAAACATGTCAAGTTGATGTCAATGAATGTGAGAGTAATCCGTGCAAAAATAATGCAGCATGTATTGATCAAATAGCTGCTTATACTTGCATATGCACTCCTGGCTTTACTGGACACAATTGTGAAACAAATATCGACGACTGCTATTCTCAACCATGCCTCAATCATGGCAAATGCATCGATGGAATTAATAATTACACTTGCGACTGTTTGGACACTGGCTTTGAGGGTCCACAGTGTGAAACTAATATCGACGAGTGCCTATCCAATCCTTGTATTAATGAGGGAATTTGTCTAGATGATATTAAAATATACAAATGTCGATGTTATCCCGGCTATGCTGGACATAATTGTGAAATTGATATTAATGAGTGTGAGAGCTCACCATGTCAATACAATGGCACATGTTTAGAAAGATCTAATAAGGAATTGTATAAGAGTAATGCCAAAACTCTACCAGCTATATTCACTCAAGAATTTAGTTATGCTAATGCAAGTGGATATGAGTGCCTTTGTGTTCAAGGATTGATTGGTAAAAATTGTGAAAAAAATATAAACGAGTGCGAGAGCAATCCATGTTTAGCTGGCACTTGTAAAGACAAAATTGGTGGATATACGTGTGAATGTGATGAAGGATTTGAGGGGGATCATTGTCAGCATGATATTGATGAGTGTATGAGATATCAACCATGCATTCATGGAAGCTGTATAGATGGTCGGGCTGATTATTTTTGCAATTGTCAGGCAGAATATGGTGGAAAAAATTGTTCAGTTAAACTCATTGGATGTCAGGGAAATGCCTGTCAAAATGGTGGTACATGTTGGCCTTATTTGTTTAATGATACCGAGCACAGATTCAACTGCACTTGTCCAAATGGTTTTCACGGTGATACATGCCATCATATTACAACAATGTCTTTGAGCGGAAGTTCATATGTTATGGTAAATACCACTAGAGACGAGGGATATGATATACAATTTAGATTTAGAACAACATTACCAAGTGGTTTACTTGCAATGGGTAAGGGGACAACTTTTTATATTCTTGAATTAGTTAATGGTAAATTGAATTTACACTCTAGTATACTCAACAAATGGGAGGGAGTTTTCATTGGTAGTGGATTAAATGATGCCAAATGGCAGAGAGTTTTTGTTGCTATAAATGCAACACATTTGGTACTATCGGCCAATGACGAACAGACCATTTATCCAATTAATCTTAATGAGAGCCCCTCAGTTTCACCAACAACATTTCCCACAACTTATGTAGGTGGTACAATAAGATATCTTCAAAAATTAGCCCACGGACCACATCTCTTTGTCGGTTGCGTTGAAGATGTTGTTATTAATGGCGAATGGATTTATTCTGGAATGGAATCTGATTCTGTTCTAATGGATCATATTGAAGCCGCCTGCCCTAGAGAAGAACAGTGCTCTCCAAATCCATGCAAAGCCGGTGGCCACTGTACAGACAGATGGCGAGATTTTTTTTGCCAATGTCAACGTCCTTATCTCGGCCATACATGCCAGTACAATATGACAGCCGCTACATTTGGCTATGAAAATATAACCAATGGTTATGTTACTGTTAAAGTATCTGATACAGCTAGACGAGCAGTTAGAACAATTCTTGATATTTCAATGTTTATTAAAACACGACAACAGCGTGGTGATATTTTTTATCTTGGATCTGAACCAAACTCACCATCATCCACCTCACAGTCACAGTCACAACCACAACATGTGCAGGATAATACTTATATAGCTGCTCAATTGGAAGGTGGACAGCTTGTAGTTAGAATGCAATTCAATGAAACAGAAGCATATACTGTTGGGGGTGTTAAACTTAATGATGGAAATAATCACTTGATTCAAGTCATAAGAAATATGACACTTGTTCAAGTGAAAATCAATGGTAGTGAATACTTTAGAAAAACTATTGGCACAACTGGACCACTCAATATCACTGTTTTATATCTTGGTGGACTTCCTCAAACATCTAGATACATTAGACAAGTCGATACTAGACAAACATCTGCAATGTCTGATATACAGCTGATGATACCACCCCAAGTGAATTTTAAGGGAATTATTCAAGATGTACAAATTTCCAATGGCATTGATATTATGGTTGTTGAATTTTATCCACTTAAAGCCAAAGACATTCCTAAACCCATTCAATTTGGCAATGTCTCATTTGATCATGATAAAGTACTTGCAGGAATTATTTCTGATAATGTTTGTGAAAGTAATCCATGTTTTCATAATGGCACATGTCATGTTACGTGGAATGATTTTTGGTGTCAGTGTCCAAGAGGCTATACTGGAAAAACATGCCAAGAAATGGAATTTTGTCAATTACAAGACTGCCCCACTGGCTCTAAATGTCAAAATTTAGATGGTGGATATGAATGTATTGCTAATGCAACATTCAACGGTAATAATACATTATTTACTTATGTCTATGAGAATCATCACATGTCATCAAATGGGGAAAATAGTAGTAATAATAATAATAATAATAATAATAATAATAATAATAATAATAGTGATGATATTATATCACAAGTGAATATTGAAACTATTGAAATAACATATAGATCCAACTTGGGAGGCACTATAATGCACATATCTCCATTAACTTACAAAAATGATAATCACAATAATCGACAACGGATCGACCATCAACATTTCACTATTTCCGTTTACAAAGATATTGTCACTGTTGCCTGGAAACTCACTATGCACAATCAAGACACCCTGACTCTTGGTAAAGAGCATCCTGATGGCAATTGGACATCTATTCTTATTCGACTCAACACTAATTCAATAATATGTGGATTTAAAAATGGAATTGACGAAACACCTACGCAAACAAGTTTGAAATTTAATTTTTCCCAGTGGTATGAATTACTAACGTCTGGTACTGTTACACTCGGTGGATTGTCTCATAATTATTGGAATATTAACAGCTATATAATAACGGACAATAATTCACTATCTGTTGACTATATAACCGAAAGAAAATTGCTTTTGACAACTTCAGTGCCAATGCAGGAAATTATTTCAGCCGAGCCCTTCAAGGGTTGCCTCGGTGAAGTACGAATAGGTAGCATGCTCCTCCACTATTTCACCTTCGATCAAGTATATGGTAATGCCAATTTTACACCAGTTGAATATCTCTCATTGCAAGTTATTGCAAATTATAATAATAACAACTCAACGGCCAAAAACAATGAGATCATTGGCTGTCGATTGTGTTTCGAGGAAGATTGCCAAAACAATGGCCATTGCTTGGATAAATTCAACAGTTATGTCTGCCATTGTCCAGCTGGCTATGCTCAAGACAATTGCTCAGAGGATATTGATGAATGTCTCGTTAATAATTGCCAGAATAATTCAACCTGCGTCGATGGAATTGCCAACTACACTTGCATTTGTAATAAAGGCTGGCAGAACTCGCTTTGTGATAAAGACATCAACGAATGTGTTATAAATAGTCCATGTCAGCATGATGGTGTCTGTGTCAATCTGCCAGGCTCATTCAGATGTGAGTGTCCAGATCAATTCACTGGGGATTCCTGTCAAGATTTTAGACTCATCACATGTGAAAATAATCCTTGCAAAAATGGCTCGACCTGTTCTGATATTATTAATAAAGAAACTGGGGATAATTTTACATGTACATGTATGCCAGGATATGAAGGTACTCTGTGTGAAGATCCTTATTGTGTCGTTAAAAAATGTCAAAATGCTGGCAGATGTGATTTCTTATATCAGTCGCCACAGTGCACCTGTCCTTTAGGCTTCACTGGCCATTATTGTGAAACAAATATTGATGATTGTGCTAGTGTACCCTGCAAAAATGATGGCCTATGTATTGACGGGATAAATAGCTTCAGTTGCAATTGTACTGGAACTGGATACACTGGAGTTGACTGCGACAGTGATGTTGATGAATGCGCTTCAAATAGTACAGTTTGCGTTTACGGAATATGTGAAAATCTTGTGGGAAGATATCGGTGTGATTGTAAGCTTGGATATTGTGGATCTGATTGTAAAACTCTTGATCCCTGCAATGAAGATATTTGTAAGAATGGAGGTACCTGTGTATGTGATGAAAATAATGGATACTTTTGTCAATGTGCTGATGGATACATTGGGCAGAATTGTACCGAGTCTGAGCATCTATTGGGAAGTCCAGCATTGGATATTGCCGTTATTGTCGGGCCAATTGTCGGAATTTTGTTACTCATTGCTATTGGTTCTTTAACTGCATTTTTCATGATGGCAAGAAAGAAAAGGGCTACCAGAGGAACCTACAGTCCCAGTGCACAAGAATTCAGCAATCCTAGGGTAGAAATGGATAACGTTATGAAACCTCCACCTGAAGAGAGATTGATCTAATTTTTTTAATTATCGAACTAGTTTTTTTTTTCTTTTTCTTACTTCAACTAGTCGATAGTCACTACCATATATGATATAGGTATATGGTACTATTGGATTTCTAAATTATAGTAATTTATAAACATGTTTCTTTCTTGTGCTCTCATACGATATCTAGTCCTCATTGCATTATCACACGGAAGGACTTTTAAGGAAAAATTTAAGCAAATCTGCAACGAAAAAATATTTCCTAATTACTGATAATTATAGACAATATATTTTGACGATGTATGTCATGTGCTGATTTTGATAAATGCCTATCCAAGTATTTTTCTTAATTTCTTAAAAAACCAAAAAAAGAAAAAAGAAAAGAACAGTGTACTTAACAAAAAGTGTCCTTAATAATGTTAAACGATTCCCGTCCATTATTGTGCCCAATAAGTGTTACATGTTTTCACTGATTCATTTTGGTGAAAACTAATTGGCATTGTTTTCTCTCATTACCAAGTGCATAATAACATTTCAAGGTATTCCTTAATTACATTTTAATGGCAACTAAAAAGTTAGATTTTATCATATCGAAACTTGTTCAATTTGTAAATATTACATTATTAATATTTAAAAAGACTACTTTTCGTAAAAAAATATGTATTTACCTAGATTTTTATAAGTAAAATCGTTCTGATACTCTTATCAGTCGGTAGTGAATTACCGTCACCACCAAAGTAATTGAGCGAGAAATTTTAATATGATATTTCGCAAATTCATTAATTTCTACGTAGATACTCACTTTTTTAAATTTCAATTATTCTTTGAAAATTTATTACTACGCTTAGAGTTGATGAGTTTGTCCGATATAATTATGGCAATTGACAGAATAAACGAATGTACATATTTATTATAAATATATATTTTGCTAGACTGAAGTGGCAAAATGGCAAACCATAGAAATATGAGAGTCTAAGTGTTCAATAATTTTTTATTTGCATTGTAAGATCATCGACTAGAAGATTATAAACATTCTCAATGATTTAATGTACAAATAAATGAACGTCTGAAAAGTCATCTTTATTTGTCATTTTTTTTACCATTCAAATAATGCCAATATAATAACAACAATAAATAATAATAATACGAATACAATTTCTATTTTTTTTTTACATATATTCGGTATCATACTTTTTTTCCATTGATTTTAGTCAATTTATCGCGAGACAGCTTGTCGAAGAATAGTAGTCCTGCGGCGCGTTCAACGCTTTCTGGTGGAACCTGTTGAAAAATTACGACATTGTATTAATATAATCTTAATAAATTTAATCATCATCTATCTCACTTGGAAACTCGTCAAAGGTGTATTATCATCAATCGGTCCATTAGGCATAACATAAGCCTCCATTTCAAATTTTAAATCATTTGTTTGTCCAACGATAACTTTATAAAAGTGAGTGGGTACTGCTACGTGATTGGCACCAATGACTTGATACCTCACATACTTTTTCCCATCACCTTCTTTCCTGGAATACAAATTAAATGGTTTCAATTGTAAAATGATTTTTTTTTTTTTTCGTGTCTTTATAATCGACATACTTTGGGAGATAAAGGGGGCCTGTACAAACGTAGACATCGGTGTATACTTTTGTCAATTTTCTCACATACTTTTCCAATCTATTCCACGAATCCCTGTTAAATCCAACACCTACTTGTGGTGCCATATTGGATAAAAAGAAAGTCTGTTCCATATGATTCTGGCAAAGTTTATGATTTCCAGCGGCTGCTAAATGACCACGATCGAAGCCACTGCCTTTGTAATCACTATTCAACGATCTGAAAAATATAGGCGGCTAAGGACGCAAACAATGCCTTTTTCATCATTGTAAAACAAGAAAATACCTGAAATACGGATGAATACTCTCATCAGGTTTGAATTCACATTTTGACCTGTCAACCTTGCTCTTGTTCTCAGAGTACAATCCGTCACGAGTGAGGTGTTCAAAGACCCAATGAGCTATTCTATTTCTCCTGTCATATGACAAAACATAGTCATCAAATGATCTTACAGTATCAAATCCTGGAAATCCATACTTCATAATCTGCATGTAAGTAGAAAAAAATTAAGAAAACAATGAAAACCGCTAGATTATAAAGAGTTATAGTTATAGAAAAATCATTAGTAATAATTAAAAATTAGAACCTGTGAAATTCTTGAAGTTGTTGATGACAATTTATTCCCCATATCTATCTGATTATCATTGGGAACAATGGGCGATGCTGCCGAAACAGTTCCGAAAATTGGTAAACCGGGCATTCGTTTGAGATTAAAAATGTTGTATATATTGTTTTTTTCATCTTTCACTTGTTGACAACGTTCATAATACTGCCCCGCACACCAACTAGCCAAACTTGTACCAACAACAGCTGATATTTTCAGTGTAAAATCAATTGCTTTAGTCATTATTCCCTAATGTATTTTTGCATTTATATGACATTCTCTTGAAAAACCACTCAATTTTATATCACTAAAAATGAAGCACGTGTGTGGTGTAATACTACTACTCTCTCCACACAAAATCTTTCTCTCTCTCTCTCTCTCTCTCTCTCTTGCACACAAAAAAAATAATATAAGCGAAGCAAGTGCCATCTGGAGAAATAAACGTCAATCAAACAAGGCATTCAGAACGTTTCAACAAATTTTTTTATTATCGAATAATTAAAGTACAAAAATATAGAGAAAACATTTGTAATTGCTGAGAATAAATAATAAATTATCTATGTTTAGGGAAATTTTATAGTTTTACAATATTCAATGAGAGCTCAATTTTTCACTTTCATTTCAATCTATCGCATCTATTTTTTTTCCTCATCTGAATCATTAGCAAGAAGGGTATCATGTCCAGGAAGCATCTTTGGATCAAAAGTATTTTCGAAGCACTTTCTGAATATAATTTTAGCTCTTTTAGCCGGTGGTGGAGGTGAGGCAGGAATCGTATCATCATTATCATCACCATCACCTCTATTATCTGATTCTCTGTTACCACGTTTCGATGCTATTGAAATTATGGAAGGTATTCTTTTAGCAACTGTAATAGCAGTAGACGACTGAATTAAAGATTCTGAATCAGGTAGCAGTACAATTGAATTGGATCTCTGACAAGTTCTATGGTGTTGTGGACTTGAAACATCACTTGAAAATCTACCAGCATTGTTTGTCGTCGTTTTCGAATGAATGCTGGTTGATCTAATAGCTGAAATAAGCTGAGGCTCATCTATTGTGGCAGCATCAGATTGATTCCTCGATATTAAATGAAATGGATCTTTATCTCTCTTGTTATGCACTGAAGCCAATATATTGCCAACTGTCTCTGCAGTCTTAGCTGATCTTTCAGTATCCTCTCGTTTTTTCTGGACAGTCGGCTTTTTTGGTTTTGACACTGTCCTCTTCTTGGATACTTGTCTTTTATCTCGTATTGTTGTATCTGGTGTATACTGATTATCTGGATCAAGTGTTGAAAGGACAAGATGTGCCTCAAATGCTGTACTTTTTAGAAAGAAAATTGCCGGTTTTCCAGCACTTTCGAAAAGAATCCTTATTGGATTACCTACAATGTCAGCGAATGCCAGTATTGCTCGCAACTCTTTCAAGCAGAATGTCAAACAGGTAGCTTTTTCAATTTGGTAAGATGTGAATTCACCAATTGCCAGGGCTAGTTGGGTTCTAGTTGCATTTGCAATACCTATAATGATAGATATTAAAAAGGATCAGTAGGATAGTAAAAATAAAATAATAACTTATAATAATTACTTACTAGATGTATCATCGATGTAATTTCTCATCAATATTTTGTCAGCAGTAACGTCAAGTGTTATTTCAATGAGGTTCTGCTGAAAATTGTGCAAAGCATTTCCTAGAATACTTGGATGTGCAATGATTTTGTTGGAGGCTGTGTCTGTATTATAAGAGGCCTGAGGAATAAATTATTTGTTTGATATTCATTAGTATAATGATGATAATAGTCTTCAATACATGTTTATTAGGAAAAAAAAAAAAAGATTAGTCATGTAAATATTGATGAATACCTGCAGAGCTTCACAGTCAATGATGGGCAACAAAAACCTTTTGATAACGCTGTTTTTGTATTTCAAGATTATCATCAGTTTAATAGCATTTGGATCTAATTTAATTTGGCAGGTTTCAATCAATTTATCCAAAACTCCAGGTGTCTTGAATACAGCCATTGCAGCCTAGATGCGCGGAGTAGAGTAGAAAATTAATCGCTGGCGAGAGATTAGAGTTGTTTTTCTTTCATTGTGAAAAATAAATAATATTCATCAGTAATTTACCCGCATGGGAACTTTGCACTTGAGGGCATCATCCTCACTGAGATTTCCATAATTATAATATGTGAAAAAATGCTCTCCAAATGTGAAATCACAGTAGGCTGAATTAGCCATGCTCACTGAACGAAATGACAGACTTCTCTCCTGTGGCATAACATACATTTCCTCTCCAATTTTTGCTAAAGCATGGAAAGCTCTTGCCAAAACTAGAACAAGTGATAAAATATTAATTTCCACAATTTTCATTCTTAACCTATTGCAATGCCACACGTACCTTTGACATTCGCACACGGTATCACACATTTCATTATTCTCAATGGAATCAATAATTTGCCACACAATTCGATGATGTTTTTTAGTTTTAAAAATATGTTTAATTTTATGAAAATGTTTTTCTGTGTCACTGGAAACTGCTGGAAAGTCTGTGTAGTCACACTTTCCCGCTCTTTCAGTGGCTATACACCACCCCCGCCTACATATGTATATATACTGTCGCGCACAGAATTAATAATAATAATAATAATAATAATATTGGCAAGTGTCATGGCCGACAAACAACTGTCCACTTCACTTATTATACTATTCATATTCTTTTTCATCACTTAACATATGTAATACGCTACGTTTTACATCTAAAAAAAGAGGAACAAGTTGAACAACATAGGCAGATGAAAAAATTTACCACTGTATTTTCGTAAAATAATGAAAACAACAACTGAGCAGGTGAGCATGAATATGTTGCCATGTATCCTCTTATCAAAGCGTCATGAATTTTATATATAGCAGGATATATTTATAGAGATTAATAAATGACAGTCAGAATGAAGCCATTCCTAAGGATACTCCACATCAAGTTTCAAACACCGCTGAATGTATTGTGACCAGTATTTTTGCTATGATTTTCCTGGCGTATTGCATTCAAATTGTCCACAAGGATAATTTACTCAAAAGTGCAATCCAAGTTGGTAAGTCAAATTTTCACAATTTTGGGTTAATTGATTTTTTAACTCTTCATTTTGTTTTTCTAGTTATAATGACGTCGGTTTTCTACATGATGATGGCGATTTGTGGAATAATAATACGAGTATGCAATTTCTTTGCGGAAATTCAATCGATTGAAACGCATTACGATAATCGAATCACAAATCTGTTGAAAGCCACATTTGAAATGAATGGACAATCTTTATTTATAATGTTCTTTTGTTTGATGATTTTGAGTGTGAGTTTAGAATAATGCTAATTAATTTCATAGAATGAAATTTTTGGACTTGAATGAAAATGAACTTGTTTTTTATTTATTTTTTTCAGGTCTATTCTGTGAAGGAAGGTAACCCCGTAGTGTTAACGTGGACGCATGGACCACTCGCATGTTTTTTAGCCTTTATACTGTCTTATATTTTGATCTATGTTGTTGGCCTAGTACGTTGAGATAATGATTTATTTATCAATTGGGTATGAATTTGATCAGACAAACTCATGGAATTTTATCATTTTTTCTTGCAGAATGAAACTAATTACACGACTGCCCGGACAATTCGTTCGATGGCAGGTGTTGATTATGGAGGAGGAATGGCATTCAGTTATTTTTACGGATACTTGAGAATTGTTTTGCCAGGTAGGAACTTGATCAAGTTTTTCTGGGATATTATTTTGGTGAATAGAACGGTGGCAGAAATTAATACAATCATGACACTGCAATGTGACAGGGCTACGTAAAAAAATGGAGCTTTATGAAGCAGAACAAGGTGTTACCATACCTGTTAAGAAAATGTTTGTACTTATCCCAAAGTCCGGGCACATACCACCGGATCTTAGTGATGCCTCGTATCAATGGCTCGAAGGGACAACGGTCAGTGATATTCAAAAGTTAACACATTGACATTCCAAAAATAATAATTATTTTCTTTCTATCCAGAGTTTGGAACACATTGTACAAGATAGAGCTGGCGTGAAAAGGCGGAATTACAAAAACACTGTTTACAAAATTCATCCCAATGGTCAAGAGAAAGGTCATCGTCCAATTTACGTGACAACGGAGGGTGCAACGCCGATGTTAACTTTTTGGGAGATATTAATGCATGATCATAAACAAACTAGTGAGTTAAAAGATGTATGTATTTTTCTTTTCTCTTCTTTTTTTTTTTGTTTTTCATGTTGCAGAAACTTTCAAGCAAAATAGGATGCAAATTGTTGCTTCATTTTATAAGACTCTAGACGAGTTGATTGACAATGATCCTGAGTGTCGAGATGTTTGTGAATTAGTGTATTACAATGGTATTTACAAGAAAATTTTTGATACTACATCTAATATAAAGGAGTGCTGAAAAATGATAATTCTCCTTTATATTTCAGATTATGAAAAAGGAAAGAAAATAAACGTGGCAGAAATACTTGTTAGGAGAATCCAAGCAGAAGCTCCGTTGTCGTAATCGGCTTCTACATTTAGATTTATTGGAACGATGCCCTAGAATGTCCATTTTTTTTACTATTCATTACATTTTGTACTCGCCTATTCTTTTTTGTAATAAAAACATTAAAAGAAGGAAAGGATAATTCAATAGATTCGCAGAATCTTAAATGAAAAGAACCTATATTATTTGATAAGAAGTCACGTATAACACGTGTTCTTTTTTCTTTATTTTTCATTATTATCATTTCATTTTTTTTTTTTCATTCTGAATTGTTTGATAATGACACAGTGAGCAGAGTGTCTTCAAAACACGAGAAAACTGATTGCCCTTACTTCACCCATGCATGTTTCATTCATCCAAAGTCCTGTTACAAGTTTTGCTTATATATCCTTTATGGATGAGCTAGAATGGATTTTGTCAATTTCTGCGATTGATAAAAACTAGTTTATGATCAGAGCATACAATGTAGGTAGATTACAAAAACAATATTAAAATGGAATAATTAATTTTTATATTCTGTCTTTTAATTTTTCATCCTTTATTCCGTTTGATTGTTCTAAATTTTCCATCCTTTTTTATTGCATTCTGTTTTGTTTATAAAAATTGAATTAATTAATTTCCATGGAAAATTTGTTATTGTGTATTCATGGATGATGGGTGTAATTTCATATCACCGAAAATATTTATTTGAACTAAGGAGAATAAAAAGCAAATTATTTTGACTCATATTATTTTTAGAATTTATTCCATGAAGTGTAAAGTTTTTAAAGATCACTTGTGAGTCAACGTGAGTATGATGAAGAGTGCTGCTATTTTTACTAGAGTATTGATAAAATAAGAAGTTGTTTGATAAAAAACAATTAAATTCTCCTAACAAAATTGAATGCATGCACAGAATGCATATTCTTTCTATTGACATAATGAACATTTGCGTGTCCAGCCACCTGCGTGTGAGATCAATACTGTGGGAGAAACGATGAAAATAATAATATTTATATAAATATACAAGATATGAAGTCATAATTATCATGAGTAGTGCAACAATTCAAAGTACAAAAAAAAAGTTGACAGTCCTTGTTGCTTTTTATTGATAATCATCGTTAAACCTAATTGAAAAATATTTTGTTAAATAAGTACGTAGGTTGTCACTGGAAGCACACAAGATATGATTTCATAATGCGAAATAATAACAAAAATTGAGGGAAAAAAAAACAATAAAAAAGTTTAAGAAACGAAATGAATTTAAATGAATTGTTGAACAACGTTGATTAAACGTCTCTCATTATTTGTGCTTTTATAATTTAAAAAGAAATTACCAGCAATCGAGAGAATATAAAAGAGTACTTAAAAGGAAAAATTCTAACGAGCCTCTAGTTTAAACATAATAAAAGAATTATAACATTAACAATATCACACACATACACCTTGGTACATGTTCAACTTAATTTCCCACTGTTTAATTTTTTTGTTTATCATTATCAATTATTGACTTGACGATATGTGTGTTATTTAATTATCCTTAATAATCACAACAGTTGAAAGTGCATTGTATAAGAGCAAAAAAATTATAATAAAGTATTAAATTTAATTGACCACTCAGTCGCCTAGATAAATTAAAAACAACTAGTACATCATTCCAAATCAGGTACATCATTTACATTATTAATTTAATTAATTTTCTTGCTTGTTTGTTAAAACGTTCAAGTTATGATGAACATTAGCCACTTTATGAATGCACTCATCTGTTTATATATTTTCTTCAAGTCAATTTTACTATGAGATGATGATGATGATGATGATGATGATGATGATAATGATGATGATGATATTTCAGCCATTGTGAATTATATTATTAAACAACCATTGTATTTCGGTGACCACGACACGCAAATATTATCATTATTTTTATTACGCTTTGTTCAATCTCTTCTTCTTCTTCTTCTTTAATAAATTGTTTTGTTTCATAATAAATCATAATGTTTGCACGTAGTTGTTTATTTAATTAATAAGCATATTAGTTGTTTTTTTTATGCTTCCCGAAGATGAATAATACTTTTCTGAAAAATAAAAGAGAATTGAGTATGTCTGAAAAATATGGCTACTCGGAAGCACAAATGTTTTATAGGAAGAAATCAATTGAGAATTGATAAAAATATCTAAACATTAATGATTTCTTGTTATTTATAATTGTAGAACTGCTCCGAATGACTAGCCAGCGGTGATACGCTCTTTTTCTATCCATTGGGAAAAAAAAATATACATGTATATATATATATTTTTTTTGTCCATTTTCATCATTTTTATATCACGAATACGCAACGCAAGGTATATACAATTTTGGGGTTTCTTGGGATTAAACAGAAAATATTTATCAATTTAATGATAATGCAAAATGATTTTTTACCTTGAATCAACAATCAAGACTGTTGAGCAATGGATACTGATGAAATTATAATGAAACATGCTTGTTGGAAGTAAGTGACGTGTCTTTTGTTGGAAAATTGTTCTTGTCATGGATATTGAAAGAATTGAAAGATGAAAAATGAAAAATGAGAAAAGAATAATAATAAAAAGATTTTTAAGCTTCAGTAGACGCAACAAGTGATCCTTTTGGGGTGTAGGCAGTAGCATTTGGATCGAGATTTGAAACTGTACAGCCAGGACATGGACTGTCAGTCGCTGCTCCAAGTTTTGTACTGCCAACACGTACATCATTACTCAATCGTAGCTTTGACGTAGAGCATGTGGATGTCTGTCCAAATGTATCCTGCGGCATAACAGCAAGATCCTGGGCTATTTTAGCCTTCAACATTTCAATTTCCTTCTCCTGCGATCTAATGAGATTCTCACGTATCTCAAGCTGTCGTTTAGCTTCACCAAGCGCCGAGAATAAATCCAACTTAATTCTTGTTTCAGCACTGAGACTATTCTCAAGATGTATATTTTTATCCTGTAATGCACTCAATGCACCAATTATAATTTCAGTCTCACCGTGACTGTCTTTACAATGATTTAACTCTTTTTCAAGTGTCAAATATCTCTCATCTTTGGCTTTAAGCTCACGTCTTAGACTCTTGAGTTCCTGTTCCATTTGTGCGCGGCGTGTTTTACATGCATCTGTACATTCCTGTCTTATTAAAGGTGGTGGTGGTGGCGGTATAGATGACCTGGCTTCCTCAGCCACTCTCCTAGCCCGTCTCTCCGAAACAAGTGAGGCTTCACACGCTGTTCTCTGTCTACGCTCTTCAGCTATTTTTCTCTCAAGCGAAGACATTGTTTGTTTATCCAACTGTCTAGCAGTCATTAAATTTTGAAGTTTGCCCTGCAGTTGATCATTGTCATGTTGTAACTGCTGTATGTCACCCTTTGACTGTCTCTCACTACTTAAAAGTGTATTTACTTGTGAACGCAATTCTTGCTCCATTTGTCTACTCGATTGTAAATCACTTTTTAATTTTTTTATATCTGACTCCAATTTACGACATATTAATAACCTTTGACAATACTCGTCCTGCTGCTGTTGCTGCTGCTGCTGCTGCTGCTGCTTGTGCTGCTGTTGCTGTTCGGCATCGGATAATACATTTTTTCCTTGTCTACCTTTACGCTCACGTTGATTATTTACTCCATTTGAATCTCGATTTTCCTTTATACTATTATTATTATTCCATTTGCCACAATTAGCTGTACCATTAGATTGTGCTTTAACCGACGAATGTGCTGTATTACATTTTGCAGTCTTATCCTTTTCAATTTCATTAGCATCATAATCATTGACTGATGTTATGCGTTCAATAAATTGTGCATCATTCTGCGATAAACTTGTACCATTACTATGCACAAATCTCTTATCATTTTTCTCCGACGATGAAAATGATGAGGATTGGGCCGAATTGTGTTTCTGTTGGTCCTCCTGTTTTTCACTCTTATCCAGGGATTTTCTGTGATTATTCTTCGTCGTTATACTTTGTGATTGTAATTGATGAACTGTTTGCATATGAGATGTATCATTCGAAATGTTGCCGTTTTGTAGACTTGTTTCTGCTGAACATGTACCCCCATTCCCTGTGCCAAGATAAAATAATAATTAGCACACTTTTATTAGCCAATTTTTCATTTTATTGTCATTTTTTATTTTCTATTATACTCTACCTCTACTCTTTTCCGGGCTTGGATTATACTGCGTGTTTTGCCTGTTTGGCTGTGACTTGGAATTTATTTCGGCAGTTATAAGCGGCGGCTGTAACTGCGACTGTAGTTGTGTTGTACCTGCCGTCTGCTGCTCAACCGGCAGTGCTTGTTGAAGTAACTGCAGGTAAAATTCATTCTCCTTGGATACGTCTTTCTGCTTCCTCTGGATAATTATAATTTTTTTTCTTCAATTATAATACATCAATGAAGAAGCAACAAACTGCACCTCCAACTTACCTGTCTCATTCTGTAGCCAACGTAGCTTTTGAAACCAAAGCCCAGTGTAACAACAGGATAACCAATGCTAGAAACAAAATTTTTTAGTCATTCAAATATTATTATTATTATTATTATTATTATTATTATTATTACCAGTGTGCTGCAAATGGCCTGCAAAGATCTAAATGAAACGGCATATGACGTAAATCTCGCAATCTTACTACAGCCTCTATATAGAGAAATAGTAGCCACAGCATCACAGTTGGTAGACACACGCCTTTATCTGAAAAATGTCAGATATTTTACCTTAACAGAACAATGATAACAATTATTATTATCATTATTAAAATTTTACCTGTGTGCCAAACGTACTGAACCCAAACGTACGTACTGGCAGCAAAGAATAACCAGTGTACAGGGATAAAAAAGAAGCAAATCATATCGGATGTAAGTGCGATACAAATGAAGAATACTGAAAAGGCCTGTAAAAGATAATTAATTTGATTTAATAATTTCTCAACAATTGATGATGATGAATCTGATACTGTTACTTTGTTATATTTTTATATAGACGAGACGAGTGTTGAAAAAATGTACATGCAATCACTCTAGTGCATCTAGTACAACGATGCTGTGAATAGATAGGGGGCCTAAGATCACATGGGTCAGCCAATGCACTTAAAAAGAGTAATCTATTAAAAGATATTGTCAATGTGTTGAAAAAAACTTACCAAGCCTTGGTATTTAAATGAATCGTAAACACTTCTCAAGAGAAGCCAGAATGGCCACAGGAATTCAAAACGAAACTCTAAAATGAAATCTGCTAAAATCACCATGGCCCATAGCATGAGAAACTTGAGATACAGGAGTGTACTGCAACAGAAAAGTTTTTATCAAATAATGATGAAAATTTTGTTGGTTATAATTGTGACTTTGAATGAATGAATGAATAAAGAGCCATTGTAACTCACTTTCCGTATATTCCTTCAGTAATTTTGTTACGTTTCAAGGGCCTACGGAGCTTTCCGCACTCGGCATTTCTTCTCTTCATATTCCTCGAGACTTTTTTTTACAACCCTACTAGGTACCCAGCGTGACGGTCTTCAGAGACTCTGAAAAAACACGACGGCCAATCAACACACACTGCTAAGTTCAACTTTTTAGTTTTTACACAAGAGGATGAAAATATATCTTTTCCAATGATATAATATAATAAAAAGTAAATAAAAGAAAAACGACGAAAATTCTTTATTTTTTGCACCTTTCGAGCCAAAGGAAATTGATGAGATACGACACTTTGAATTATCCGTTCGAATTCGTGTCGTTCGTTCGTTGCTCGTTTGATGATTACACAGCAAATTATCGATCTTCCCCGTGAATATTAAACTCCACTTGTTGACAAAAATTATCCAAATTATGCTGACTTGATGATATAGAAGAAAATGAAAAAACAACAACAACAACAACAACAACAACAACTGTGAGTTAGTGTCTGCTCTCTCACTCAGTGTGGTACCATGTATCTCTTTTGTTGTCATTCGTCTGAGGACAGATTGGAGGTCTCACAGCGATTCACCGAGCAGCTGATTGGTCCATCCTGAGACATGGCGCTTAATAAACTTATAACGATCCACATTAATATGCTCCTATTTGTATTAATTAAGTACACTCAATACCACAAAATAATCATTATAATTCAAGTATCCAAAATATTTCATTCACTGAAGACACAAGATTCACTCAGACATCAGAGTGATTTACGTTTCTTTCTCGTGTTTATTTTTCAACAATATAATTCTGCATGGGAGCACATAAATTGCGCACACACGTGTTTTATACTTGCTTCTTCATGATTAAATGATTTTTTAACAGCTTGTCAGGATGTTATCCACTTATGTGACTCCGTTAAACACATCAAAATATTCCACCTGATTCACAAATACCCTCAAAACACGTCTAGTACACGCTCACAAGCTCACACCAACTACTCAATTAGCCTCTGTTTCAATACTATACGTTAAAAACCTCCGGGTCTTCATCGATCGTACGAATATTCTCTGTCGTTCTCGTTCCTGGTAGTTCCGTTGTTTCGATATGGCGCCGCCAATGGCGTCAATTTCTCTCTCTCTCTCTTTCTCTTTCTTTGTTGCTCTGTATCATTCGTAGATATATATATATATATATGTGTGTGTGTGGTGTGTGTGGTGTGTGCATTACCCCCTCTGTGAGAGGGAGAGAGGAGAGACACCAGCTGCGCCAGCTAAAACACTACTCGCTGCTCTATCTGCGCACACCATACACCAGTGTCACTGTAAGCTGTGAGATAAATAAGGTACAAGTTGCATTTTTCTGTACAGATAATTTGTAAAATGTACAGCAACAATTTCATTTCATCAAGAAGCCTTGGAGAATTATTGGAGAATTCTTCATATCCACTTTTTTTTTTTCCTTCTTTCGTTTTGCATTGAAAATAAATTTTCCAACTCTACACTTCCCGCCAATTTCATTGCCCCGGCAAATGGAATTGATTGTTGTTTAGTGTCCAATGAAGAGGTTCATTGCAATACAATTCATACAAGGCAATTTTTCTCACATGGAAAAATGTATTATCACGATACTATACTATAAATAGAGACTGCAAAATCATGTGGAATTGAACCAAGGGGCTGAAATGCCCCCACAGCAACAGGGACCAACGCCAAATGTTGAAAATAGCCCATGTACATTAATATAAATGTAGCATTCGTAGTCTGACAAATAATTGGTAAATTTCCATAAACATCAAGATTTGTCATTAATAAGAACATGAATCATTTAGTGACGAAAGGATACTTCATGCAATTGTCTCGGAAAATCGTAACTTAATAAAGAAAACTCCAATAAATAATCATACGTATAATGTCCATTTAATCAACTTATATTGCACTCATAACTTTCAATGAAAAATATCAAGTGAGCATATTAATGAACGAAAATCAGAAAGATTTTCATGACTGACAATTAAATTTCTTATTGCGTTACATTGTTGTTATCTATTCGCACGTTTTTTTTTTCGTACAGAAGGTATAGACTGAAGAAAACTTTGCATAAAACTTATATCAATATGGTACAACTCGATGATGAGATTTTCGTAATTTTGTCAATTTTATATTATGTAATTATCAACACAATACATAATCACAGTTAATACCCGAGAAAAGTTCATCACATGTCCATTTCAAACAGCTCGGAAGTCTCCTCAATCACTGGAATGTCTGAAATAAAAGAAAATATAAATGCATCAATAACTCATTTTTGGAAAAAACGATTAAAAAAATGACTTATTACCCTTTACCGCTTCACTACTGAATTATTGTAAACATGATTTTTTTTTATTTGTTGAGTTTTTCATTTTTTTTTATTCAGTGACTAAATTCGTCAAATATTTACTAACCGTTGGTTATCTTACTGCCGACATTCAATATTGGAGACGTAATAGCTGGTGTACTTTTCAAGAGATCAGCTGGAATTAATGGTGCATTTGTAGGTGAAGTCCTCGAAATTGGTGAATTTCTGAGATTCATGAGAAAGGCCCGTTCATAGACAATCCGAGTACCTGTGTTGAAAAAGAACATGTAATGATAATCGCGACCGCAAATGCTATATATCGATTGTCAATACGTCATATGTCCGATTCACAAGTTTTTCTTATCGTCTACTTAACCAGATAGTGCAATTGTTCAAATCCAACGTATCAGACTTATTTATAACTATCATCAAACCATTTGTTGTCTCTTTTGCTTTTCTTCAGTGAATAGTAATTAAGAGGGAGAACATAGTTAATATAAGTGACTTCAAGATGAATGCATTTGGATAACCAATCGCTAACAAGTTGAATATTATACTCCCCTCATTTAGACTCCGCAGTAGAGTAGGTGCACCTTATCTATAATATTTGCCATGAGTTTACCATGTTCATTGTTCGGAATATACACTTGCCGTCATGTAAATTTGGGAATGTAAGAACTTGAGTAAACGATAAATTCAACTAAATAGATTAATCTACATTTTTTATTTAAAAAATGAACTGAAAAATGAAATTCTGTTTTATTGAATAATGACAATAATAATAAAACTAATTGAAAAACAAATAAACACTTGGAGTACTGTACAACAGTGAATAAAAATTTACATTATGTACAACGCCGCGAGAGCACACGCGCTAAACTTATCTCGAAGGTCCCCGCCGCCGGCTACGTGTTGAACTGCCGATAAATAACGTTTATACTGATTATGTGAAACGCGACAACTCACAAAACCAATTGTATTGGGTATAATGTAGTGTGATGCTGCCGACTCAATTTAGCTGTATACCAACATCAATAATTAAGTCTTGCTTTACTCAAACATTAACAGTACGTTTATAGTTTCCTAGAAATTGTCATTACAAGTGGCTTCATTATATCAACAGATAATAATTAATCCATTGGAGGATAGTAAGTTTATAAAGGTTTATTGGCAATGCAATTATAATCTTGTAAATTGAATGATTAACTGACCTCCAGGTGTAGTTGAATAAATGGTTCCTCCAGGAGTGGAGGAGTAATCAATTGGCATTTGATTGGGATCATGAACAACAATCCTTTTCAATGGTATATTTTGACTTTGTGTAGCCTGCCTTGCAATTGGTGAAGCTGACATTATTATTTCTATTCACTTTTAATAGTTTTTTTATTATGTGACAATAATTCGTAAATATAAGAAAAAGAAAAAGAAAAACCGGAGGAAACAGAATTCGTCGTCGAATATTATTATCACAAAGAGTAGTGCTGCATGCTGTTATTACTGCAACCAAAGCTTCACTGTCGTTGAGGAGAGCACAATATGTAGAGTACAACGGATACGTTGCCAGTGTGAGGCGATAGAGGGAAAGAATTTAAAAAAAAACAAAATAGAAGAAACTGAGAGCACCTCCCACACACACACACACACACACACACACGCACATATACACATGTGTTTGCGTTTTGAATCATGCGTGTTCACACTGCGCAATTTAACGCCGTACATAGACATAACAATGAAATATTTTTAAAAAATGTATATATACATATAACAGAGAAAAATTAATTTCCCGATTGAATCAAATATTTACAAAAGATTAAATGTTCTGAATGATCACTTTTCGCGTGAAACATTCATCGTTTTGTCTTTTATGTATACATATATACACTACTACTGGGTGAGGAATGCAGAGTGGTTGGATCTTTTTAGCTTCCAAGTTTTTTTTCAATTTTATCTTAGCATTGGAAAACTTGAAGTATATTTTATAACTATATATTTGTCGAGAAATATTTAACGCAGATAATTTTACAATTTTCATTTATTAACAAAGTTTCAAGAGGAGATTGGCTATTAATTAATATATGAATATATATATTTTTTAATTTCAACACGAAATTATATATAAATATATATGAAAAGTTGTTAAAAATGTTATTTTGCGGCGGTTGTTTTTATTATATATAATTGTGTATAAGTCAAGTTATGCCGCAAAGATGGCGCTCGTAGAATATTCTAAGAATCTTGGCGTTTGTAACCAACGTTTGACAGTAATGTATGTGTATACATGCGTTCATACATGCATATATATGTACATACAAAGTCACTTTTTAGTGTAAATCTGGGAATATAAATGGAAATTCGAGGACTGATGACAGGTGGGAAAACCAACATGTGCATTTATTTGAAATCATTACGCCTGCAGAAATGAGGATGAAGTAAGTTAATTTTGAAAAAAATGTACAAAAATTAGTAACATTAAAATAATCCATATATATAATATGTTGGCTTATCTTGCATTACACATTTTGCTGGTGGTTTATTCTACATCCCGCCCGCTCCAGGAAGTATGATAATTACCCCTATGGTGCAATTCAATGCCTCGATTAAGTTTCCCTGGACTGTTGATAAAAAATAATGACAGACCGCCAATAGCAGGCGCGTTATATTTCACTGTTAATTTATGCCGAGTGTGTGGTGTAGGGTTGTACGGTTGTATGCATGGTTGATGCATGACTATTATCGAGGCTTTGCATATTCTTTCTCATTTCGTTGGATTTATTTCAGAAGAAGCAACATCTGTTATGCTAATAGTCGATCTATCAGTCGGACGAGGTGGGACAATTGTTAATCCGTCGAAGAGCTCATCGACATTTCGTCGCACCGACCAACTCTCGAGTCACTGGAAAAAGTTCTCGGATAGAGCATCATCGCATATTGGAGAAAATATTGGGTGAGTTGTATAATTTTCAACAACTGGAATGAATTGTCATTTTGTTGTTTATTTATTTATTTATTTATTTATATTTATTATAGTTAGGAGAATAGCAGATAGGAAATGATAAAAATGAAGAAAGAGAAAGTTAAGGAAATGAGAAAGAAAAATAGTCTTGGATTGTTGGTGTTTGTTCAATGCCTTGTAAATTGCCTTGGATCGTACAATGGCTGGAATACAGAATCTTTTCCACAACCTTTGTGCCCCAGTCTCTTTCCACATGTTTTCACCAGTTATACTCCACGAGGCAATTTAACATACGGTATATTCACAAAAAAGCCCTACGTTATAGGAATAAAAGACTGTGTCGATACATGTTGTTCAGAGGCCAATTGTCACGTAGCGTTGATGCATAATAATACTTGTTATCATGTGCAATGTCGGAGCTCCAAAATGTGTACACCCCTTTATCGAGCAGAATTATCAAGCCTGACTGATCCCCCGAGCATGGTATTAGTGAAACCCGTTGAAGATGATGAAGATATAAATTGGAGTGATTTACTCGATGAAATGAATTCGTCGCCACTATTGATTCAATCTCCTGCCAGGGATCACATTATATTTCGTTCAGTAACATGTCTAGACAGAACGGAATGTCAAGAGAATGAAGTTTGTGTAAAGCATGAAAAAAATGATGATGGCATTTGTGAATGTGCAATAGGATTCAAACGAAATATTGCCGACATTTGCAGCAATGATGAATCAATGGTGGATTCAATAAATCCAGTGGATTTGTCAGTAAATGTTGAACATCCATCGATGTTAAAAGTATCATCATCATTAATGCCCGAGGAAACAAAACCACCACTTAAACAATTAATAGTTTCTGCTGTTTCCAAAGAAGTTCGTTTACCTGAAAATGCAGTAACACTATCGGCATTTACTGTACCTGCTGAACAGGGTAATGAACATTATAATTATGCATGGAGTCTGTTAAGTCAACCTCAAGGCCATACCGGAACTATGATAGACCAGAATAGATCGACAGTTAAGCTTAGTAATTTATCAGAGGGTTTGTACAGATTTTTAGTGACAGTAAATAGTCCAACAGCCTATGGAAAAGCTTATGCTAATGTGAGTGTTCTCCCACCCAAGAGAGTTAATCAGCCACCAATAGCCATTGTTTCACCGGCCTCTCAGATTGTCAAATTACCAAATACCGGTGCTGTTCTCGATGCATCAGCAAGTAAAGATGACGACAAAATAATATCTTATCATTGGGAGCTTCAGCAGGGACCAATAGGCTATCAAGCAAATCTAGTCGATACACCTACATTGCAACTTGACAATTTAATAGCTGGTAATTACACATTTAAATTGACTGTTGAGGATTCTGATAACATTGCCAATTCAACATTTGCCAATATCACGGTACTTAAAGTCACCGATTATCCTCCAAGTGCAAATGCTGGTCAAGACATAATAATTTATCTACCTCAAAATACATTAACACTAAATGGAAATTTAAGTACTGATGACAGAGGAATAGCAAATTGGGAGTGGACAAAAAGTCCATCGGATCAGAATAAAGCTGTTGATATGCAAAATACGAGAACTCCATACTTGCAATTGTCAAATCTTGAGGAGGGCATGTATACATTTGTTCTCAAAGTCACCGATGATTCTGAACAATCATCTACCGCTGAAGTTCATGTTTTTGTCAAGCCACCTACAAATAAACCCCCAAAAGCTGATGCTGGTGAAGATATAACGATTGCCCTGCCTGAGACTCAAGTATTATTGAATGGTAGCAAGAGTATGGATGATATTAAAATAGTCTCCTATCATTGGCAACAACTCAATGGTCCTAGTAGAGTGCTATTTTTAGCTGCCAATGAGTCTATAACAAATGTCACCAAATTAACAAAAGGAGATTATAATTTTAAATTGACTGTTATTGATGACAATGGTAATAAAGACTCGGATATTGTTAAAGTCAGAGTAACGCAAAATAAAAATGCACCGCCAAAGGCAAATGCCGGTGGTGATCAAGTTATTGTGGCACCCATTAATGCTTTAATTATCAATGGATCACAATCGACTGATGATTTAATGATTGGAAAGTGGCACTGGACGCGGGATCCAACGAGTTTAGCCATTGGAAATATTATCGAAGGCACTGATGATTCACCAGTTCTCATGATCACAGGCATCCTACCAGGTCGCTATGTATTCAAGTTAAAAGTCACTGATGACGATGGTTTATTCTCCGAAGATACTGCTTCAGTTATTGTAAAACCAGATCCTCAACTTATTCATCTCGTAGAATTGACATTGAACATTGAGGCTCACTCATTGACTGAATCCCAGAAGGATTCTCTAGTATTGAAGCTACAAATGCTGTTGACAGATGAAGCTGTCATTGTAATAAGAGATGTCAAAGCAGAACAGCGAACTGGACGTGCTCGATTGGTCTTTTATGTTCAAGAAAAAGGCAAGAAAATTTGGATACCAGGAGTTGAAGTTGTACAGCGGTTGAAAGAGAAATTGTGGCAAGATTCGGGACTACTTCAATTGTCTGTTGCATCAATTGATACTGCTATTTGTCAGAATAATTGTTCGGGGCATGGAGTATGTGATGAAGAATCCAGACAGTGCCTTTGTCAGGCTTTTTGGATGCAAAATCTTATCCAAAAGTATTTTGGAAATGGCGAATCCAACTGCGGTAATTTTTTAATAATTTACATTTTTTTCCCCTCTTTATTTATTATTCATTATTTATTAAAAACAATGACAGATTGGAGTATTCTCTACGTGATAATTGCCCTCATGTCTCTGATGGTCTGCTGGGTAGGCTTAGCCTGGGGAATCGTATGCCTGTGCCATCGAATTTGCATGGGTAAACGACATTCACGACCAAAAAAGAAGCCAGCACGTTACTCACTTCTGCAACCAGAGCCAGAGGATGATGGCAGTGCATGTACGTTTAGCATGGACCATGGATTTTATACATTTCGAGATACTAAAATCCAATAACTATTTCTTGTTCTTGGGGGCAAAAAAAAAACAAACAAACAATTTGTTACTTTTTAGAAAATATATGTAGATATCATGAAATAGCGTGAAACGATCAGACTACTTATGTTAATGTGCAGACGGTCTTCTTCCAGTTTCCACCCACAAAATGGTATTATCAGAATCTGATACCGACTCTGACGATGTATTATTTGAACACCGAAAGAACAAAAATAATGGTAATATACACATAAGAAATGGAAAGAGTCGAAATGGTTTTATCAAAAGTGGCTCATCCAGAATTAAAACATGAGGTAAATAATAAAATAATTCATCAATTTTTTTATTTTTTATTATTCATTAACAATTAATTTCACATGAACCATGTAACTATATATATATATATATGTATATATTAATAATTACAGAATTATTCAAATGGTTAATTACCTGAATGATGATACGCACATTTTGCGCGTTGAATAAGCCAAAAGAATCACAACTACTAGTCAGTCAATGGATGATATAAGACTACTCGTGACAGCATGATGGAATCGTGATAAACACACAATGGCTACTTATGCATAATTATTTAATGCAAGAAAATACAGAAAAACAAAACTCAAGTCTACAATAATTGTCAGTTGTAAGGCCATAATTTTTGGTGTAATTCATCGTATAATTTTGTCGCATAATATTCTGGGGTATGAGTATTTTATCAGATATTTTGTGTATTTCCAAAAAGCACATAATTGTGTGTATTTGTGATGAAAACAAAGCCTAAAAAATAATGTGCCCTTACATAATATCTTGAGAAGAGGGATTCACAGCTAAATTTGTTCCAGGTGTTGGAATTGATTGAGTAATATTAAGAAGATACGAGATTGTATATTTATAAAAATATGACTTTGACAATTGTACAATAGTATCGATTATTAATGAGGCCAATGTTTAGTGACGCTTATGTGACGAGAGGTACATTTTCACTGATGCAAGTAATTAATTTTCAAAAAAGTTAAGTTTCTAGTCAGAAAAACGTGATTTTTTTTTTACATGTTGATTTTCATCCAAATATTCACTGTAGGGTGTATAAGACGATAATTTTGGAACACGAAATGAAAGGACTGCCTTTTCATAATAATCCGACACCAACTCAATATTATTAATCACGGTTGTCAGTAGATGGGCCCTCTCGACAATTGCACCTGATAAAAATTAAGGAAAATAACAATCAAATAATGTTAATCATTTAAAGATTAACTTAATTTGGGAGAATTTTTGTTTCATATTAAGTAATTACCGGCATTCTCAACGGCGAAACTTGTGAAATGCACGTGGAGGTGGTAAAAAGTTGGCTGATAATGAAAGAAGATTTTCAATTGTGACCTTGGTATTTTGTATTGCTCCTCAATGGCCTTGCAAGCACTTTCTTTGATATTCTTCAGTAATGGCAGATGAGTCTCATTCAATTCTCTGATTGAACGTATTCTTTGTCTCGTTATTGCTAATAAATACAGCGTTTGAATTTGATCATCCCATTTGAGGTCTTTTACCAATACAAAGCCTAGATCATTGTCTGCGTCATTATATATAACTCTGTCCTTTTCAGCTGTGCCATTTAAAATATTATCAACCCACTAAAAATTGCAAAATAAGAAATGGAATAAAATTTTTCAACTTCAATTTTTTTTTTTTTTTGTGAATTTCTGTCATATTCACCTGCAACGAAAATGGTTCTCTCAAAAGTCGCGGTAGAGTTACATTTTTATATAACTCTGGTGTCTCTTCAATTAAATAATACTCTGGTGGCATCCATTTTTCAATGTGCTTATTCGTTGCAGGATACGTTATTGTTACATTCAATCCTAAAACAAAGATTATTAGTATAATTAAAGAGCACAAATTTGAAATATCAATGAAGACTTGTTGAGACCATTGTGTTGTTTCATTGGGAACCAATCGTATCCACGATAAATATCATTACGATAGATCTTCTTTGAACTCGAATTACTATCGAAAAATCCTTCCTGCAAAATCTCTCGTTCCTCCGGGAATATCTTCTTTTCCAAAACAATTAGAGCATTTTCGCTGCGTCCCTTGAATAACCCTTGTACAGCAATTCGTTTATTCGTTGTATCATTTCGCAGTATATTTTTCACTTGAAAATTCGCAATATCTTGGAGGAATTCATCTACATCGTCAGCAGTATCATGTTTTTTCTCAATTTCATCTGGCGTATTTTCCACTTTTTGTTTTTTTTTAGGACAACACTCGGTGTCAAGATTTTCGCTTGCATTTTCCGCCATCTTCAAACACACTCTGATGTCACTATTTTATATACATATATATAGCAAGTCACAGCGCGTTTGTATTATATGTATGTACTATTGCTATCATAATGACGGTTGAGTGGTGCGAGCGTAAAATTAATCATTTGTCTGAATTAAATGATGACGAGGAGAAGAAACAAGTCATGGAAGAATTATTCATAAAATTATCAAGTTTGACGTCTATGGAGTTGGAAAATACCGCATGGAATGTGGATCTGGGCCGGCTTTTCAGTCAACTAACCTCAAATAGCAGGTATAATGACATGGCTCATTTGAACCCTCACTGTTATGTATATATACATATATATTTTATTTGATTTTTTTTTTTTATTAATTTTCAGCATTTATATTGAACAAGTTTGCAAAACTTTGACCATTTTATTTGGGGCTCTAGAGCCCGGGAACGTCCACAAACGTTATCCACTAGAGATATATGAGTACCTATCTCATCCATATTCAGATGTGAAAATTGTGGTCCTCAAAGAGCTCAATAAAATATCAAGTGATTGTGATCAAGTTGTTCACCTGACAAAAAATGACGTGAAACTAGTAATTCGATTGATTGAAACCATCGGAGATGAGGACCTCAAGGTTGCAATAATCGCAATGGACACGATAAAGAAAATGGCACGTATTCCGGAAGTCACCAATATTATTTATACCGGCAACATGTTGACAACATTTGCTCGACTCATTTCAAAAAATGATGTTACAACGTTCCGAGTTTATGAGGTCATTGTCGACATTGCCAAATCATCAAAAGAGGCTCTAGAAGTATCCATAAATTCCGGCTTTTTGACTAGTCTCCTGCAAGTTTTGGATTCCGATGATGTATTGCTCCAATTGAATGCTCTAGAAGCAATGACAGAATTAGCCAGCACCGAAGGGGGTCTCAATTATATCGAGGAAAGAGACGTATTAAACAAGCTGACCGATCAAATAGCGAGAGCTAATGAAAATCCCCTTTCAAATGTACTCATTCCTGGATTGATGAAATTCTTCGGTTATGTTGCGAAAAATCGTCCCGACAAAATATTCTCCAAATACCCTATTGTCATTTACTCACTCTTTCAAGTTATTGAAGGTGATGATTTCGTTCTATTGGCTAATGCTTTGGATACACTTGGACACATAGCTCAGAGTGTTGAGGGAAAATATGCACTAGAATCACTCGGCGATGTTATGCCAAGAGTGATGGAAAGAATTGGTGGAATTATTGACAAACTTCCGACTGAATTGAGACTGAGAGGTTTAGAGAATCTGGTATTAATCATTCACATCGATAAATCCAAACAGGACAATAGGATTTTGTCTTTGACTAAATCTTGGTTTGACATGCTTCATGATGAACCCCTCAAGTTCATTGTCAATCTGTGTAAGCAACCGTTTGCTGATATAAGGTACTCCAGCATGCAAGTACTTCAAGAGATTGCTTCTCAAACGTGGGGCCAAGAATACACAGCTACTTTGCCTGGTTTGATTGAATTTTTGTTGGATCGAAGTGCTGAAACTTTTAGCAATTGCAAAAAAATCAAATATCAAATTGTTAAGAATCTTTGTGAAGCTACTTGCGATATTTTTGACAGTGCTACTCTACAGCAACTCCAATTATTCGTTCGACAAGGACCATTTTACGTTGATCTGGATGCAGAAGTTGTAACTGAATCAACATCGTGAAAATGTCATTTATTATTACCTCTATTATACTTTTGTAAATAAATCCAAGTTTTAAAAAACATTGAGTATTCTAAGAAAATAATTTATTCATACATGTGGTTAATAATAATAATAATAATAATAATAATAATAAGGGGAAAAAATTATTTATATCGTTTTCCAAATATCATGGGATGCTTCAATTTTTCCATTGGAAAAAAAATCTTACATATAAATTATTTTTTAATAATAATAATAAACTCAAGTTCATTGCATTCTTTTCTTCTTTTTGGGTGAAAGAATCTTGAGCATACTAACAATAGGCGCCTCAAATGATAGAGATACGGCGAAGGAAACAATGTAGGAAAGCACAACCTGCCCAATGAATGTAACTACCTGGAATTCAATAGAACAAATTAATCTTGGTCGAATGTCGGTAATGTTGGTAATCTTCTGTCAACTCACCACGGTATCTTTTCCCAAATGAAATGGTGAATCCAAATTCATTGCAGTTAATCGAATAATCATTGGATGAACTAAATAGGCACAATAAGTGACTCTACTGAAGGGATAGAGAATTGGCGCTGAAAGAATTTTATTCACCCATCCTGCAATAATAATTAAGCAGAAAAGAAAAAAAAATCAATGAATATCTTTATATGTATATAGGAGAATATGGACTCAACGTTTTTACCTCCATATCCGGTACTGCAAGCAACAACGATCCAAGCTAGACCTAGTGCCCATGCACTGTGACTCAATGAAGAATAAGCAGCGGCTGTGATTGGTGATAATTCAGCCTCGTACAATCCATAAAGTAAACTCAGCAAACATGCAGATGATAATAGCCAGCCGACAACAACTGTTGTTCTTGACATCTTGACTTTACAATCAGTCTTGAATAGAAAATATCCAATGGACATTCCAATGAGGTAAGGACCCAGTCTTGTCCATGGCTTATCATAAATTTTATCAAACAGTGCTAATGGGTCATCCGAGCTGGGCATGTGATTATTGACAAGTGCTATGTATCCTGTGGTAAGCCATGAGCTCACCATTAATGTAACCACTGAGAAAGCTGCTACTTTCAAATGGTTTGTTGCAATTACAAGGATTACCGCACCGACAATGTAAAATTGGGTATCGTCAGCTAGGTACCAACTCCAGAGCATGCACTAGAATGAAATTCAAATCAATTCAATGAACAACAATTAATAATGAAATAGCAATTTATTAATTACCATTTGATCAACGGGAAAAAGTGTATTAATGTAGAGTAAATTTCTCCACCAATAATTTGGACAATTTTCATGGTCAGGTGTAGGCGGTTCAAAAACAGAATTGGCATGGAACCACTTCATAGCAACCTCGACAACTCCCAAAACGTACATATACGGTGTAGTAAGCCGACAGAAACGATAAAGTAAAAGTCCAATAAACTTTAAAAATCCGGCAACGAATCCCCGAGTTCCTTGCGTCAGTTTATTCAGATCTCCCATGGCATTTGTTCGAAAAAATAAATAAGCAACTAGTAATCCACCCATGAAAAAGAATGTGTCCACACTGAATGCTCCATTGGTAATTGTCTGGAAGAGAAATCTCTTCTCAACAACTTTTCGATACTCCATATTATCCGAATATTTGAAGATAATAATGCAGGTATGTCCCAGGATAACCCAGCCCATGGAAATGGCTCTGAGCCCGTGAATTGTACTAATAGTGTCTCTACCGACTCCAGGATCACAGATTGTTTTCATGTTCTCGCGTACGGAGAATGACAGTAGCAATTCTTCACAAACATCTGAAAAATGAAAAATAAACTCATGCACATTGCACATCAATATAATAAGCAGAGGAGTCAATTTCTAAATTAAAAATAATAATTAAAAAAAAAACTAACTGAGTTGTTGAACGGTAGTCCCAATCGGTGGAATGCTCGTCTCATGATCATTATTATTGTTGACCGGAGTGACAACTATGGTCCCGACGGCATCTCCTAATACTGGAACAGGCATGTAGATCTTACCGTCAAATTCTACCTAACACAACATATAGTGTCACTAAACGTACTGACTAATGTTCTTTCTCAAGTCAGTTTGTCAGTTGTTTATGTTACTCATGTGTTATTTTTATCAAGTCGATTCATATTTTTTCCTTACCATTTGACTTTTTATGATGATCAAAATGATCATTTATACCTTGCTCCAATTTCGCATGTTTTTCCGAATCGTAAAAAACTGCCGCTCGTCTCTGAGTGACTTTGAAGGATAGATAGTAATCATAAGCTGTTCCAATTATCATCAAAATAACAACAAAGACTGTAGAACCACTACAGGAAATAGGTCAAACAATATTTCATTAACCGCAGAAATTTTCTCTATTGAGAATAAAAATTAACTTTTAATAAAATTACTCACAATAATGCCCAAAAGGTAGGATCTTGATAGATATCATAATAATTGTGCTGATCTCGAACTTTTTCTATAAATGAATGCTTCAAAGCGCTTTCACTCGCTGATAATTTTCCTATGGTAAACATGTCTTGAGCGGTGCAAGAAAAGGGAAGGCAGACTCCCAATTGAATTGTTCTTGTCTGGAAAATTAACAATACATTAGAATTCTTCATGATTTCTCACATTAATTTGAAATCCAATAATAATAATTGATTAAATTTTTCTCACAACTGGTGAAAGAATGCTGTCATTGATCGAGATTGTCATCATGAAGAATCCTAGTTTGTATGGAGGAGTATCTGGAACATTGTAAGATATATGACTTCCCGATAATCCTTTATTGATTCTTCTTTGGCTCTTTTTTGGTTCTTCATTGAATTCTTGCACTTCGTTGATTGATTCCACTGATACAAATTTTTCATTTTTCTTCGAATAATCGTATCCAATGTATTGACATTCTGTCGCAGATCCCATAAAGTACGAATTGCCCCAAAAGAAACCATTTGTGTACCTTCCTGATGCATCATCAGCTGCAATGTTAAATAAAAATTAATAAACTTTTATTCCACATTGATATGTGTGGGATGCCATATTGAATTGGGACGGAAATTATGACAACTTGAATTGGGGAAAGTCTTTCATGTCCGCCTGTAACAAGTGGGTCATCAGGGTCACATATTCCTCTGTTCATCTCATAGATTCTTGGAATAACCAGTTCTTGGAATTATGACAGAGTTGAAAAATTTTGACTGCGATTGAAATTTCGGTCGAGGACCCCCCCCCCCCACTTACTTTTACTTTCTCCAATGAAAGAGACAAATTTCACATAATTTCTCCACGTTATTATTACTATTATTATTATTGTGACCTTTACAATATTTGAATAACAACAATTTTTATTTCGTTGACAAAGGCAAATGAAAATTTGGGAAATTTCTTTGTTGTGCGATTGCTGCAAGGAATTATTCCAAATGATTGAACACATCGCGTAATAATCTACGTACAATCATATAATGTACTTCAACAAAGAGCTCCGCGTGCACTTTGGATGGAGCAAGGACTTTCTATTCGGGAAGTAAATAGTATTATCTAATAGCCAAGGGAGGAGGGTTACGGTTTGCCTGCAGGTCCTTGTTACTCTCTTTCTACCCCCTCCGACTCCTCGACGTAGTGCTTAATAACACGTTGTGTTACGTCAGTAACTACTGGGGGGATATTGCGAGATTTATCCTGTACTACCTATCACAACATATACCTGCACACCGTGTCACGTCAACGCCCCTTTCTTTCATTTTTATCATGTTAATAGTGATAATTTTGCAATTGTCACCTACGAATGTCTCATAAAACAACATTTTTTCTTTTTTTTTTCTTTTCTAAATCAAAAACATCTTTAATGAGACACAATCATTGCAATTTAATTTCGTGTTACGTGCATGATCAGCACTGATTGTGTGAAAGTTGTGTGCCAATGATATACTACGTATTACATGTTAATTTCGTTATTTCATTTTAATTTTATGTCTACAATAACGTAATCTCTTGAGAATTACGGGTCATCTCCACGTCACTCCACTACTATTACATTTTAGCACGAGGGATTAGCCGGTCTAGATGGCTAAAACAATGAGTGACGAAGAAAGATTTATTCCTCATTAGTTATTCAGAGTGAGAATGCTTTCTTACATTGTTTCAAACAAACAAGAGCAGAATTGACAATGCTTTACAAAGTCAAGTTCAGAATTGCACGTGACTGTTGTCTATTGTATTTTAATTGTGCATGAAATTCTCAAGACTAGTCAGATCAGATTTAATTGTGTTCCTGTTGATGAAAAGAAAACTAAACGCACAATGATTTGGTATATAGCGCTGTGTGTGTGGCATTGAATTATTCAATGAATTTTAATATACTCTTCTCGTCTTCCGTACCGTATTGTACCGTAGGAAAGAAAGTGAATAGAAAGTAAGTCTCATATCTAGCAAAGAAAGGGTAGGTATGAATTGAATTTGAATAATTTCGACTATTTCGCGGGTGAGTAGAATTTCTGTCTGAATATCAGGTGAGTCGATAATGTGTAAACTTGAAAGTTCAGAAACCAACCGGTTTATCTCGATAGGATTGTGTCCACATCAGACATTACGCGTTCACTGTCGAGGTTTCTGTGCCGTAGGAATAAAGTTCACGGGCCATTTCATTGCTCAAATTACACACGACTATATTCATTAATTAAATTATACCTCTCCAAACAAAAACATTAATTGGGGCTTTGACATATGACAGGAGGGTGATTTAAATTTTAAGAAATGAGAAATGAGTCATTATGACTTTTGAACTGATGGTGAAAGTACATTTTTGAGAGGAGAAAGGCCGTTGAATCTATACTAGTAATGGGTATGAAAAATGGAAATGCTAATTTATAGTGCAAAAGTAGCTGTACGAATAAACTTAATGAACAATATTATTAATGGGGAAAGAATTGACAAGGGAGAATGCTAGCCTTGCCAACAGCATGAAGATGTAATGAAATGTTGTAGCCAGTTTAGCAGTATGAGAATAGAACGATGAAGACTAAATGAAAAACAGATATCAAGTGTATGTATAATAATATAATGTAACCGTCGAGTAAAATTTATTCCAGAATTTCTCCCCAGGTCCATGTTTACATGGCCTTGAGCTGTAAACGTACTCAATAATGAAACAATCAAATTTAGTGTTCCATGAAACACTTTCAAAATTACGTCGATTATGAAACTGCTTAATTCTTTCCCTGGAATTTTGGTTTAAAAAAATTGAAAAAACCTATAACGTTAGTAGAGAGAAAATTTTTAGAATTATAAAATGCAAAAACAATGTATATAATAGGGAGAAGGCACTCTATTACTCGAAAGACCCCCAAATGACAACTTTCTCATTCATTACTGCTCACCGTATTACCAGCGGCAAAAGCGTGACTCCAGGGCATTAACTTCTCTCCCCCCCCCACTATACAGTTATTTAATATACACATAGCAGCGAAAGAGCTTTGCGGATGCAATTAGGTGACACTTTCATAATTTTACCGAATTCTATTCGTAATGCAGTTTTTCTAACCAGTCATCGCTGGTAATATAGTAATGGTGTTCCTGTGTAGGAAGTCATAAATTTTTCTATTTTCTTCGTGCACACAACAAACTCTGCAGATGCAAATGATTCATTTGTGCTACGATGAGCTAATTCGATGATTATGTTGATTGATAGTTTCACATAACTATGGATTTTCCAGTCAACTCTATGTCTAGTAGATTTGTTAACTTATGTAATTTTAATGATTTTCAAGATTTAACAGTTGTTGCATAGATTTGCCGATCACGCTCGTCGGATGGCAGACTTTCTTCAGTAACGTATTAGGTGATGGAAATTATTGAAATTATTTTACGGAAACTAACAAATATACGAATATGAATTGAATTAACATTTGGGAGAAAAAAAATCAGACGCAATATTAGATTTTTAGTGTAAAATTTCTAGATATGGACCGCCGCATCGGAGGTAATGTCGTGACATTATGTATATTGCTCAATCCGATATTCCATTTCGATAACCAGAAATGGCACATCTCAAGGTCTCCTATTTTTATGCTCCACCAATTTAAAAATTTATTATTTATTATGGGAATAGAAAGTCATAGTTTTGAGGAGAAAATTTCATTTATAAATGTGATATCTCCAATTTTCACACAAGTGGGTGTACTATAAGAGATGTCCATCAGATAATAATATATAAGAGAGTTTCGTTACAATGACAGTGATTTTTGTCACGTGAAAAGAAAGAGAAAATAAAATTGAAGCGATTATAATGGACACGGCAATAACTAGTGAAGAAAATTATTAATTATTATTGCCGGATATGATTTGATATCCGGGGAATTCCATAGCGATGAAGTACGGAGCATGAGCATTTTGTACGTGAGTACTCTTCTTGTGTCTGCTAAAAGTGAAATCTCGTGAATGAAAGTAGGCAAACGAATATAGCCCAGAATGACGTGCAAGGTAGTGTCTGCATGCTCCCAAGTAATTCCTCTTTCCCTTTTCATTTCACTTATTGTTTCGCTAGACGTTTCGTTTATAAAATTGACATCACCGTCCAAGTTAGAATTAGGGGATTATGTGCACTGAATGAAAAAAAAAAATCTTTTAAAAGGGTATTGCTCTCTGAACAATGGCCGTTAGATCATTAATAAGTTGAGGATGTTTTACATTGTGTTTGAAAGGAATGAATCTCGATAGAACGACGACTACTGCACTGTAATGTACTTTACCGGTACCCTCCTCCGCTCCGGTTTTGTCCTCGGAGAAAGTGTGCGGTACGTCGCGTTGTTCACAGCCCTCCAATTCGGCTTGCCCAAAATAATCGGTCAGAGGACCTCCCAACTTTCACTTCAACTTGACTATCAAAGGTTCACCATTATCATTATATGAATCAATTCTAGAAATTTCAGCCGATTCATAATGAAAGTGAATTTTCAATAGTCCAAGTCAGCAAATTTTCAATTCAATATCTTTCGATTTCAGAAATAATAATATTTATCTAGCCATACATGGATTTTTTAATGCAACTCGATACTATTATAGGAAGTGCGTAGTGTATTCTCATGTAACCGCTGCTGGGTATCTGGGAATTAATTTTTTAGTAATTGACAATATAGATATAGATATATATGTAGAGATACCTTTCAGAGCCCAAATTTCATGATTCCTCAGACCCAGGACGTATCGCGTAATATCCCTTTCACATTGTGCTCCCACAGGATATTTGCCTTCCTCCCAATGTTTCTCAAGATTTTTAGAACTGTATACATCCAATCTGTCAGCTATTGTATGCCAATTGGAATTTGATATATTCACTCGAACATCCGGCAAACTCCTTGGTTTATGTACAGTGGCATCTGCCTCATTATTATCATTCAAAAATGATAATCTTAACTTAGTGGAAGTCCTTAGATCTTCCTCACCAAACACTCGGATGGCAAGGAGAAATAAAAATGTACACTTTAAACTCATTCTAACACTGTGGATCCTTCTCATGTTGTCGTCAAGTATTTTAATTCATCATATTACATTTGGATTATTACCAAATTTACCAAATTTTATTAAAGTTGAAAACTTGAATTTTTGCTCTTGATATTTTAAATTTCGATGCCAATTTCACAAATATATTTAACAATATATAAAACTGATAAACTTTCCATTTTCAAGCGCAATCGCTTAAACTCTTTTGAATTTCTCCTCAATTCGTTTTTCTTGAATAGCCACTGACGAACTATAACGTTCGAGACGGACGGCAGGTGGAGAAATGATTTTACTTGTCTCTCACTCTTTCGGTGTAGAGGTGGGATCATAAACCTGGACACGGATTGGAAGTGGGGATAAGAGTCGAGTGAAATTTAAAAGCCCTACCCATCGATATATATTATATAATTACCAGCTGCAGCCAGGGTCCAGAGAGCCCTTGAGGTCTACCGCGTGATCGTGAGTGACATTCATCTGGTGCTCAATACCCATGCATACCTGCCAATACAATAAACCAATGCAAATGTCTTTACAAGTAATTAGCCGGCATAAAAACCATTCTGCAATTAAATGATTATACTATCATTAAGTTAAATGCTCAGTGCCCTTGAATTTACAATTGAAATTAAAGAAAATCTCCTTGAGCTTTTATCCCACTCACTGTTACAAAAATCTTGGAAATCAAATCAACATTTCAACGTTTCCAATGAAAAAAAAAGTCCATCCCCCTTGAATTATTACACATAGTACTTACTGCTCCATTTAATATCGAATACTAATGGTTAATTGAAAATTTAACTCATCTATGAAACTATTTTAATTCTCATGAGCAATGTCTTGCCTTGTCAAAATTTTCACAAGACTGACTATGAAATTTCAATTTCTTTTTATCACACTGCTGCTACTGCTGCTACTGTGGATATTTATAGCGTGATAATGTGCGCGATCTGGTAACAAGATGAAAGCTCTCCCATTTCCTCCGATTGCCATCGTAGAGATCGTGCAAATGCAATCACCAGGAAGATGAAATGGGAAAAATGATTCGTAAATTCACAAGTCACGGTGAAAACCGAGTACTCTTATGCAATTTCGATTCAACAAGTCAAGTCTTTATTTTCGTTGGAAAAAATATTTCGGTCCTGTTTTCGGTTTGTTTCATCGATGATTTCCAATTTACTAATGATTTGATCTCTGGATCAAATGCCATAGAACATAAGCATACATAAGAATACATGAATCCATGAAAATTGCCAAGGACATTCTATATGCGCATGATTTAACATTGCATCGGTATTGGGAATTTCACCGTTCATATTGGAGGAAAAACAAACGAGTATCTTCGTCAAGAGGTGCACACACTGTTATTTTATAAATTACAAACTGTATTTACGTTTTGTCTAGCGCAACAAATCGTTCCTCAAATCTTCTACGAACTTTTCCTCCTCCTCTTTGTAACTAATTACCAGGCTCTTTTCCACTCTTTCCATTGCCATTTGCGAAAAACAGAAAACTGTCGTTCTTAATAGCAATACTTTTTGAAAGGGAAGGGTATTTAATTGGTTTTGGAAATTTTCAATCTGGATTTCCCTTTTCCCAAAAAATAGGTATCACGGTAAAAAAATTTACTCAAATAAATGAGGATTGATTCCTTTACTCGTACCCACACGGAAAAAAATGCAAGAATAAATCAGTTTCTATTGAGGGTGTTATATTTTAATCTACAGATGACTGACCATTTTTGACTCAAATTTTGAGCTCAAGGAGGTTGAGCGCGCGCTCTCTTCCGGATATTCTTCAAACTGAACTTCCATTGGCGGCGCGCTCTCTTTTATTCAATTCATATTTTTTTTTTACGGCACATAACCTAAACGTTTGTTATTTAGTTCCCATCTTGCGACCAGTGCACTGATATTTTCTCTTCCGCATTCATAACAAAATAAGCAACATGACTGATAAAGTGAAATTGTCAACAAAAGTTTATGACTCAGCTCTGACTACAGCTGTGAATGTACTTCAATATATTGGTAAATTTTTATTTGTCATCAAACTTCTTTTCTCGCAATGATATAAGAATCATTTGGTTTTTATGGCAAATGTTTAGATGCTGACTGTCAAAATGAAATGATGAACAATCTTCGTTCACAAATAGCACGCTATGCTCAAATTCAGGAAAAATTCAAAAGTCTCAAGCAGATTACTTCAGAGTTTGTACAGGAGTCAAAGAGAATTGATCAGCATGCTACTAATGAAGACATGGAAGATGAAGATAATGAAGAAGAAGGACAAGTGAGAACGACTGCAGTTGAGACAGAAAATCTTTACAAAGTACGGACACCAGAGACGAAATCCCCGCCCCCATTACCTCAATACGAAAATAAAGTCAACTGTCAATTTTTTTTTTCCAGAGATATGGTGAAGAAGTGGAAAGAATTCAAGTCGATACATCAAATAATAACCACTTGAGACAGTTTACTCATCAGATGGATCAATTGATCGCATGTAAGTTGATGAAATTCAGTGGGGCATTAATTCATTGCTTCATTCTTATTCTTCAATGATTGTTTATAGCTTTGGCTGGAGAACAGGCTACTTCAGAGAACAATGACGATGATATGGTGATGACAAGTTCCATAAACGTTATCTGTCCAATATCTAAACAGAGGATGATTGAACCAGTGAAGAACGATATTTGTGGACACGTTTATGACAAGGCAAGCGTCAGTGAAATGATCAAGAGCAATCCTAAATCAAGGTGAATGGATATTTATTACTTATAAAATTTCAATTCTCAAAGCCCCCCCCCCCATCTCTCCCTCATGATGAATAGCAGCAATAAAATAATATCTCTGTCATTACAGATGCCCATTGATGGGATGCAGTAATATAGAATTTCTCAGAATGAATCATTTGAACCCCGATATCGTGACTCGACTTTACCTAGAGAGGAACCCATGAAGATACAAATACTTTCCGAAAAAAACTCTCCAAATAGGCTAATGACATAATTTTTAGGCATATGACGAGAAAAATAAAAAAAAAACAAATGACAGGTCATTGACGTCAGTCAAAGTCATTTAGCCGTCTTGTTCTTCAGCATTAACATCATTTCTATTTTTATATCCTATCGTTCAACCCTTCAAGGTGACTAGCCCTCATTGCAGCTATTTATAGCTCAATTCAAATAATTATAAGAATCCAACTGTGACTTGCATTGAGAAATAAATTAATTTTCATTTGTCAAATACAAATTTTCATTTTCCAAGTATTCGATTTCATGCGAAATTGTCCGGAAGATGTAACGATAATTTCACTCGATTAAACGTCTTTTTTTTTGTCATACGGATATAGAATACTATTTTTATTATTATTATTAACCAAGAAATAAATTACGTCATTCCGATAACGGTAAAACTAATTCAATACATTTCATTGATAATGTCAAGAATGAGGATATGTTTTTTCTATTACTCTTATGGATGCTGATGATTTTGTGTCATGAGACGACTGTTGTCAAATGTGATGAAAAAAAAATCATGGAAAGTAGTTATCCAGCCACAGGTAAAGCTACTCTCATATGAAATTACACCGAAAGATGATATGTATGAATCAAAATGCCTCCCTGAAAGAGTAGATGACATCAATGTTCTCCAGCGACAACTGATGAGTAACGATTATCCACACTGGAGAGATGAAAATTATGATGACTTGTGGCTGTTGAGAGATAACAAACGTAGTTACGTAGCCCATGCTGAGGGTGATGATGCTGAGCAGGCTGAGGCTGATAGTGAAGACGAGGGGGAACAATCGGAAATCGAGGAAACGAATGAAGAGCCGGAGGAATCTCCTCCCGCTGAGGATGAGACGGTGAATGAAGAAACAGAGGCCGCCCCTCTTGAATACACGGATTACGGTCAGTCTAAACAATTCACATCATATTTCTTGTCTTTAAAATTTCTAGATAAAGCGAAAGAGATCGTTGGGACATACGGTAAAGCGGTGGATAGCATTTGATGGAAGGAAACGGAAAAATTTTCAAAGACAATTGATTAGGTCCGCGGAAGAGAATTGCTGGGATCCTAACGCTACCGATAAACCCGAATACGTAGATTACGATGAAAATAGTGCAATCCATTTTAATCTATCGCCAATTAGTTTTTGTATTTATTTATTTGTACTATATTTATCATATTTTCAATAAAAAAATTAATTATAGTAAATGTATCTTTTGTATATGGCACTGAGTGTAATTAGATAATTATAATGTATTCTTCTTTTAGATGCTAGCAAGACAGAGAAATCTGGAAACGATGAGTATGAGGAAGTGGACATGGCGTCATCACAAAACATTGTCTGCAACTCCACTGTTCTGTTGAACATAATATTTTCCATTTCTTTGCACCTCATTATTACTCAAGGGTGGTGAATTGTTTTTTCCACCTAATATTTTTTATATTTTCTCATACTTATGGTAGACAGAATTTTATGTGCTTTTGTAATATTATTCCAAATTCAATCACAATATCATAACTAACTACAACTTTTATCAACGTTAATTTGTATTAATTATTATTAATAAAAATCAAAAGACGATGCAATTTTTTTTTTTTTTTAATATTACGAATCTAAGGAGCTGCTTTTAAATTCCACAAATTTTATGTAATCAAATGCATTTTTTATTTGATATACCAAAAAGGGGCAAACAATTATAAAATTATCATTGAGATAAGAATTTTGTAAATCTTAAAATAATGATAAACCATAGAGAAAGAAAAAACATGATAGGTATGGATGATTCTGAAAAATCTGGAAAATACAAAAGAAGTCAGGAAAATTTGCAAAAGTAAATGACGAAGGTACAAAGGGAAAGGGAAAGGGAAGAGGAGAGCAATGAAAACAGAACAAAAGAGGAGTGTATGTGGCTGCTGCTATAAAGTAGCGTGAATGATACTGTGATTGGTTGTTGAATCGTCCATGTGACCGGTTTGTTACTGTAGTGGGGATATTGGCCGGCTCCCCGTGCCCTCACTGTGGTGTTTCAAGGCGAAAGCCACCAACTTCTCTAGTATATTGTAGTATTTAGACTGACTGACGGTAAAACTCACGTACATATTACATATATATCCTTTGAAAAACCCCACGGTCACTCTATAGTTTGTACCAAATAAAGATTGATCTGATTGCCTCAACCTTATGGTCACAGTTTCATTATATCAATTGCTTGTTCCTGGTTAATATTATTAATTCATTCGCAGTGAATACACTCAATTTGGTTTTGTGGTGATAAAAGTCTGTGGTCTATAGACGCCGCGTGTGGATCGCCATGTTGAGTAAGTGAGCACGAATAACTGATGATTGAAAAACAGAGAAATGGAGAAACCGAAAACCAACAAAAATTCATTCACAACAAGTGACAAATTATTTGGTGCTAAACATTGAGTTGACTGTGTTGTTCATTAATTTTCGTTTTTTTTTCTTGCTTTCGAACAATCATCTGTTTATTTTGTTGTAAAGTTCCAAGTGAATGAGTGTGACGTTTGTAGATGTATAGTAAAGTGCTGAAAGTGCATGCAGTGACAGTGGTAAAGCTGTAGTGTGTTGATCTCAATTCACTCAGAAACGTGTAATGCGCCCTGACAGGTATTTACTCTTTTTTCTCTATTTATTGGTCACACCAATGCTTTTCCCGCGGAGTGATTTTCAAATTGTACCACAGCGATAATGCGCATGTGCTGTTTTTGTATTTATCGGATGATGACGCGTGCGCTATCTTTGACAGGTGTCAAGCCATTTCGAGCTTGTTTCTATTTGATTTCGTGTTTTTTATATCTAGACTAGACTATAGGAATATATGTATTTTCTCAATCTTATGGAGTTCAGTAGCATCAGTCCACGTGCTTAAATGCCATTACGACCTGGACTTGAGCATTTGCGTGTCCAATAGTACCGTTCAGTTTATTTACATGCCCCGGTGAACAAAAAAAAACTCTTCGGGCAGATGACCGGTGAATACTCCGCAAATCCCAAAGGCTATATATTGTACGAAAATAAAACCGTTAGGATTAGTTTGAAATTTAAATATATTTGGGTTCGTTATTCGCTATTCAATGTCAAGATCATGATATTGTTGAACTCGAGTAATTCAGTTCTCCAACGAAACTAAAAATCAACAATTTAGTCAATTTTACTTGTCAATAGAAGACTGTTAATTTGACTGCACTCTCAACTACATAAACAAAAAAAAAACAAAAAAAACAGTTATTTTGTTGTATAGTGGAGCTGAGAGCACGTTGAATACGCACGAAAGAGGATGAAGCCCCTCGTGAAAAGGCGGAAAGGGGGTTCACAGTTCGACGGAGCGGTTAACGACCGGGAAACGAAAAAACCGACGTGGTTCGGTCATCCCGGGTACGTCAACGCTTACAAGGTGCAACACGTGTGTTACAAAAGATGAGTGAAATACCATTAAATACTGATAAAACCATTGATGAAGACGGTTACGATGGGGATGTGGTGGCGAGTAGTGCTACCCGGGAGGTGAAACAAATGGAACAACTGGTGCCAGATTCATTGATTGATGCTGATGGTACTGATGATATGGATCTTGTAAATGCTCCGAATCCCTGGCTTCCTGCCTATGGCTTCCAGATACAACATCAGCACGCCAACTTTCAGCCGACACACGAGGATCAACGAACCAATGGTATTGTTTTGCCTATGCCAAATTACACGTTTTTTTACGAGAAGTATTTTTTTTTTTTCAAGAGACTTATCTCTTATAACTCATGTACACAAGCGGAACAAGTCAGTAAATTCAGGGATAGACTCATCGGCGGGGGTTTAGGCTATTTTTACGATAACCTGGCATATAATGAACTGTAAATCAGCAATCAGTTATAGAAAATTAAGACCGGAACCTGTAAATATAATTTTTTGGCTATTACCCCTTCGCTACTGAATTTCAAGGGGATTGGGGGGAGATATCTCACATTCCCGAGGTAAAGTGATGATTCATTAGTACCTCATATTTAAATATTTTGTATAATTATTTGGATTGTTGAAATTCTTCATTGGATATAAAATGCTTATTCATTGCTCGTTGTCCGTTAACTTGAAGCATGTAATATATAATAGCTACAGCCATATATGCATGCCACAATTAGATATTTCATTTGTTCGCAACACATGCTCTAAATACCGTGATAGCAGATGCTCTGTTCGTTCTATAAAAAGATATTTTTTTTTTACATTACGGAAAATGCCGTAGTTGTTTGCATACGAATTGTAGTAGCGCCCAGTAGTTGATTCAAATCTGGGTTGCTTTCTATCAACTGAGTTGGGAAGAGGCAAGAGAATGGCAAATTAACGCCCCCCCCCCCCCCC